TCTCGCTGCGCTTATTTCGTGTAAGCGGCTATGTCATTGCATTTTGACAGTTGTGTGTATTGAAGTTGATGTAGTTATAAATTATAGTAAAAAGTGGTAAATAGCGCGCGCGAAGCACGCGTTTGTATAAGTGCATTTTGACAGTTGTGTGTATTGAGGTTGATGTAGTTATAAATTATAGTAAGAAGTGGTAAATAGCGCGCGCGAAGCGCGCGTTTGTATAAGTGTAGTGTATGTAAATTGTTAATTAAACTTAGAAATCGGACTAAACTATTACATTTGTTTAAAGTATATTATTTAATAATCGAATAAACATATCAATGATCCACTTTATTATTACACGATATACACGATAATTGTTATTTAGCATTAATAAATTCAACGAAATAAGTTCTAAACCTCTCACGTTATCAATTTGTTTATAACGCGATATTTAACAAGTTAACGATGATATCTGAGATCTGCCCAGATCTGCCTATGCAGTAATTGTTAATTAGGACTTAGAAATCAGTCTAAACTATTCCAATTGTTTAAAATCGTTTATTTAACAATCGGGTAAAAATATTGATAATCCACCTATTTAGTAATTGTCATTTAATACTAGTTAAATCATATAGAAAGGTTCTACATCTCTTGCGTTATTATTTGTTTATATAACACGATATCTAATAAATTAACGAAAATATCTGAGATGTGTTTGTACAGTAATTGTTAATTAAGAAGTTGGATTGAATTATTGCAATTGTTTAAAATCCATTATTTTAAAATCCAGAAATTGGATTGAATTATTGCAATTGTTTAAAATCCATTATTTAAGAATATGGAAAAATGTCGATGATCCATCTCTTTGGTAATTGTTATTTAATGCTGTGACGATACGCCCCCTGCCTCGTCATTATGTAGGGGCCGACCAGCCGCCTCGGCGCTTGGCGCCACAACTCCGACTAAACACGCGCACTGAGCGTGTTACTCAAGGACAACCCCCTCTCCGCAGCCCCCGCCAAAGCCCATCGGCGAGGGTATACAAGCCGTCGTCGCGGAGCGACGGCAACCAGTCCAGTCCCGAACCTACTCCTGTCGAGACCGTTCCTCCTGAGACGAGAGTCAGGGCGCCTGACTTCTTCACGTTCCCTGTATCCAGCGAAGAGAGTCGGAGCGCCTGACTTCTTCACGTTCCCTGTATCCAGCGAAGAGTCAGGGTGCCTGACTTCTTCACTGCCTCCCGAGAAGAGAGTCAGGGCGCCTGACTTCTTCACGTTTCCTGCGTCCAGCGAAGAGAGCCGGGGCGCCTGGCTTCTTCGCCTCCCATCAGACCAGGGCGTCTCGTTGGCACCAATACCGCGCACACGGAGAAGGCCGGGGCGCCTGGCTTTTCCACCACTGTCGGGCCCCGGGGCGCCCGCCCGACATAGACCAGTTCTCGATCTCGCTGCGATCTAGATGCCGCGCTGCCGTATTACGGCCGCCCTTCGAGGGCCTCCCGGCCCCACGCCTGCTCCGCTCGTTACCGACCGGACGGCATTGAGCGCCGGATTTGCCGACCGTGACCTCCGGACTGGTCCCGCCGACTCACCGATCGCCTCTCTGAGCCTCGGTAAAATCTCGCTAACACGCATTGGCCTAGTTTACACCGTTAAATTAATTGATACGAGTATCAGGTTGGTGCGGACTAAGTACTTGATACGTCTCTGTTTACACCGATTTATTTCGAAATAAGTTAAGATAGGTTTTTAGATTTTTCATTTCACAAAACTTCTAATTCTAATTTTAATCTTAAAGCAACTTTAACCTAATGCAGCCGTGACGTATTTAATCCGATTGAAAACGAACTAAGTATTTACAGTGCATCAGAATCTTTTGATACGCGTACTATTTTGGTCTGATACTAGCGATTCAGGAGTATCAGATCAGACCGTACTAAGATAATTCACGAACGTTTACACCGACCGTATCAAGCGATTTGATACGGATTTGGTACTTAGTACGCGTATCAAGTGCTCGGTGTAAACTAGGCCATTATTGGTTGTCTCGCGCTTTCTCGCATACCTGGCCCGGCGAGCATATCCGAGCGCGAGAAAAACAAACCGTCACAACGCTAATAAATTGAACGGAACAATTTCAATGCCTTTATGTTATTGGCTAAGTTCCGTAAAGTTCATGTTCATTTCATCCTTGTTTAACATTCAGTAAATAACAAGAATAAAATGATTACGCGCATTATGCGCTTTACGGAATTCAGTCATTATATACTTGTCAACAAGGATGAAAAAGGATATAAATGGGGCTCTCAGGTGTTTAATTTTATTAACAATTAAATATGAAACCAGGTATATTTTTTATACTTCATTTTACAAATTTAAAAGTTTAGCAAAAAGTATAGTGAGATCCCTATAAGAAAAACTCTTTAAAAAAAGAAAAAATTTATGCCAGCTATGTAAAAAATGTATTGTACGTTACATCTTTCCTAAACCAAAAATATTTTCTATAATATTTCATTTTACAAATTCAAATGTTTGCCAAAAAGTAGTGAGATCCTACCAAAACCTTTTATGAGGATGCTGAAAGGTCGAGAATTATCGACATTTGCATTCTAATGGATAACTCCAAAACGACTGAACGGATTTAAAAACGCTTATTTACAGGATTCAAATGGACAAAATGTCCATCCATGGATAAAATGTCATCGCGTTATGTATATATAAGTAGTAAAAACAAAAAAATATTCAAAAATTACCTTTTTTGGGATATCCCCAGTGAGAAGGCTGATGTCGAATCGACGTCGTTTCGATGTCGATGTCATCGAAAACTCATCGAATCGAAATTGACATCGAAAATCAGGCCATTTCGATCAAATTGTTTTGACATCAAGAAATACTTGTTTCCAAGTTACCAATGTCCAAAACCCAAAATTAGTCTAAAATTAAAGTTAATCATGCATATATACCCAGTGAGAAATAATTGGTCGAAAATA